TGTGAGAATGTTTTTAGTTACACACCACTTAATCAACAGACACACACATGCACATTGATTTGCTTCATGTTTTGACTACTGCTATGACCAGCTGCAAAGCTGGTAACAGAGACGTCTCGGTTGACGTTTCTGTGTAGTATGGGGCTAGCCCAACCGAGGTGATATAATGTATAGGCCTGGTTTGGTTCAGGGTCTTTCATCTTACATCTGCCTGCATGCAGTTTGGAGGTGCAAGATACCTGAGCGTGTAATGTTAATTTTACCTGTGATCCTTTGAATAAATCAGCACTGTTTTGAAGTTACTTGGACTGTCTCGTCTCTCAGAGTTAGCAATGGTAAGAAGAACCAATAGTCCTACACAGTATATAATTATCTGAAAAGTCTTCTGTCAGAATGTGTGCATATATATGTATATATCCATCCATCCATTACCTATACCGCTCATCCTAACAAGGGTCGTGGTGGTGGGGACAAGCCCAGACAGAGGCTCACCGACAGCTTGACAGTGGCTGATGCCTACTGTTGGCTTGGTGTATCTCTGAGCCAGTAAGTGAATCCTGAATCAAAATTTTTTCTTGTAAGATCAGGCGTGGACTTTCATGGTCTATTTATACAAGCAGTTTATTTACCAGAATCGTAATTTTAATAATGTTTCTATCCATAAAATGTAGAAAAAAAAAATGTATTAATTAACAGCATTGTAGTAACTATGGTTTGTCCAATTTGAACCAAATAACTTTTTTAGAGAATCAAAAGGAAAGGAAGGAACAATAAACTGTAAAAATGTATGTATCTCATAATATTAAGGAACATACGTGCTGTGTACGAGGCTTTATGCTATCTTATTTGATATAGTCAGTTTTCGAGAAATCAACTGAGAAATTGATTATGGATAAAACAGCAACATACAGCATGCATGTGTATTTTTGGTTAATCCAAAAAAAATAAATAACATCAAATACATCATTATATTGATATAAAAAGAATGTAAAAATCCTATAATACATAGATGTGCTAATTTACAATGTTTGAACTGCCAAATTCTAATGGGCATAGTGCAAACAGTGGCAACATTTTTATACTGTCATCATTTATATAGGTCTCAGTACATATTGTTTTATCACCAATCCATATCTATTTTGTGTTTGTGTTTGCTTAAATTAATAAACAGCTGGATAGTTGGCCATCATTGTGAAACAAACCACGGCAAAGCAAACTAAAAAAAACTCATCAACAGCAACAATATCTGCCGTATGTCATGTTTCATGTGTCTACTCACCGTCACTGTTGACACACTGCACTTGAGGATTCTGAGTTCCTGGTCCACATTCCTTTTCATTATCGGGAATACACTCCTCTAGTTTGACCACCAACCAGTCATAGCAGCTGGGTTCTTCACATGGTATTGCCTCCATCAAATGGGGACAGTTCCCCGTCCAGCCCTTCGGCTCACTGACAAGCTTCCTCTTCCTCAGTTTGAAGCCTGGAGAACAAAGGACCATAATGAAGTAAATGAACACAGATCATCCCCACACTAATCGACCACAGCACCCTTGACCCTCTGTGATCTGCTGAGGAAAAACATGCCACAGTTTGACATTATCTAATGTACAACCGTAAGCATGTTAACTTCGGACCACAGTCACATTGTGCCTTTGATGATTACCATAATATTACATTTAACAAGACAGTCCATTGAGCCTGAAATTGACAAAATGAAATGGATTTGTTCTCATACATGTTTCTTTCCTCTGCTCAAGGGCACAGAATTCCAAGACCCAGGTTCAGAGAATGGGGGATGTTACACCCAACCCAGCCGAGGTCCTCCACACTCCTGCTGCAGCCTGATAAGGCACCAAAGCCCTGGAGGCTCTGCAGGACTCAGGTGGAGGCAACAGAATCGTCCCTTTTTATTTCATTATTGTCTCTCTTTTTCCATCAAAAACCTTTATTTAATCAGTCAGGTCAGCAGAACATGTACTGCCATGTATCAAGAGCCAGTGAAGAAGGTTTTATCTGAGAGGGGGAGGGTTTGTATGAAGAAAGATGAGACATGGGGTGCAGGGAATTCAATTCAATCAGGTATCACTCACTTGCTATCTGCAGGGTGCATTATGAATGGCATGGCTGCAAGATAGCAGCAAAGCAGCTGCCAGAGCAAGAGGCTCCATTTCAACTGAAGACACATATATAAAACAATCACATGTGATGATTGACATGATTTGGTATTTGGTACTACAGATGCAGACTCGAAACAAGGGAACAACAGTGATGGGAACAGGGTTTTAATAATAACTGCAGGAGTATGGGTAAAGTGGGTGTCAAAAGAAACAACTATGATTGGGAAAAAACTATAGTAACACAGGCAAGGTAAATGAGTCCGGAGAAGACTATGGTACCTTTCAGAAATGGTAGCTGTGTATTAGCTGCTTTTTGTTCAGACTGGAGCATGAATCGGTCCACATATTTCTAAGCAAATCTGACCCCTACCGGAGAGTGTGGTGTCTGAACCTGACCAAGTCGGGGGGACTTGGGGTTCAGTGTCTTGCCCAAGGACACTTCAATACGTGGACTACAGGGACCGTGATTCAAACCTCCAACCTTCCAGTTGGGAATCGATTGCTATACCCCCTGAATCACAGTCACCCCCAAAAAAGTAAAAGTGCCCTATGTCAAAATGAGAGAAAGCTGTTCCTTTAACAGACTGTTGAAGCAGCAATGTTACATACTGTATCACATAGGTATGTGAAAAAGGTTATAGTTATACTGTACAAACCTTTTGCATGATGTCAGCTGAGACAAAAATTGCCATTCGGGACAGCCCTAGTAAATACTAATGGCAGGTAAATGGCAGGCATCAGTAGTTAAACACAGAACTACACAGACATGTTAAACACAGAACACACAAATGAGAGTAGCTACTGACCATACAAACAAACTAGAGCTGGAAACAGGCCAAGTCGTGGTCACAGGAATACAAATAGGGGGTGTTCTTTGTACACGGACTAACAGATTAGCCAGATAATTTTGCTGATGATTACACATGATCCCGGATCTCTTGGTTCTGTGAAAGTATTGTAGAACCTACTCCGCCGTAGGTTTGTTCTCAGGTTTATTCAGTGTAAACAAGATAACCTCTCAGATTAAAACAAGGTTTGGAAAAAAGTCCATCCAATTATAGATGCACTGTGCCTACTTGAGTGCCACAGTGACACTGGAGCAATGACAATAAGTCAAGAATCTTTGTTGTCATTATGCATAGCACATTGGAATCTTTTTCCGCAGCTCTCAGCTTAAAAGACAGACACATTATTTACATAAGTCAATAGAAAACAATGAGCAAATATAAAGGGATGTATGGGACCTAATCAGGTCAGCAGCATGTTAGCAGCAAAAAGAGTGTAGTAACATTATAAGGTGCAGTTCAGTGCAAATCTCAGCCGTTAGGAAGCGGTGTGTGTGTGTCTGCAGAGGTCCAGTGTTCTGTCTGTGTCTGTCCATAGGGGTGTTAGAAATTAATAAATCTGTCAGATAATTTTTAGACATTAATGTGTTAGACTTTAATGTGTTAGTAATGCAGTTTAGTAAAATTCAAAGTCTGCTCCAGTCTGCTTTGCTTCAAGGTTAGAAGACAATGTTGATTCTGAAAAGTGTACTTTGACACCAGTTGTTTTCTTGTATTCATCCTGTGTTAGAATTATGTCTGAATGAATGTTTTAGTTACGCACGTAACAACACACACACACATGGAATTTTTCATTTTGTTATGACTAGTGCTCAAAACATGTGGAGCATAAGATAAGAGAAGGAGATGTTGGAATGTCTCCCACTCGTGATGTTTTTACGTATATCTGTCTGTGTAAGGGGTTAGCCCAAAAACTTATAAATGTATTAAGCTCTGTGTTTCCGGGAGCTCCTTTCTTCCAGCAGCTTGTCTGGAGCAGGGAACCACCCGGGTTGTGTTCTGTAATTTTTATTTGTGGCTTTAAAATAAATCGGCACTAAAATGAAGAAAGACGGACTCCTTCCTTATTCAGATCTATCCAATAAAAGAACAAGGGTATTACAACTTGATGCCGTGACCTTCGGAATTGTATGAATTCTGAGCGGACGGTCCGAACCGGCTCCCTGGATTCCACGTCGGGATCCAACAGACACACAAATCAACATTTGCCGGCAATAAATACAGGTGAGCAGGAACCTTTTTACACAACTCCTGCACAGTGGACTTTACAAAATTTCGTTGATCTATGTGGACTGTGAATTCCCGATCTAAAAATTGAATGATTACAGTAAGGATAAGATAATGCTTTTATTTTGAAATGTGCTGGTGCTGTTTTTTGCCACACGTAAAGGTTATAAAGCACATATTCTCATTTGAGGGACAGAACAATAAGTGCCCTAGTTACAAAATGATGATTATCAGAGACATAAAATCCACGTTAATAAGTGGATAACCACAAATGTTAACGGTTGTTTCGAAAATTATTAGGATTTTTTGCTCCGATGGAAAGACTGGCTTGCTGAAGGCGGAAGTGGAAGGAGGAGTCTTCTTCGAGCAGAGACTTCTCTGAGCATTTCTGAGCATCTAAATATTTATAAGACAGTCACTGCTAACTGTTAAGTGATTAATGAGAGCACTAGGGAAATAATTTTTGTTTTTCATACCTTGTGGGTGGTTTTCTGCACAAAGGCTGTTGAACACTGTCGTATGTGTATCCCATACCAACATGTGCTACTGGGAGAATTTGGTGTGAAACAGTCTGCCTTGGGCAGAGCTGTCTTGGGTTCTGGGGGCTGGGCATAGCCTATGGGGAAACTGTATTATAGAAATTAGGGTGACGGCGTATTCAGTGGAATTAAAACATAACAGTTGATCGGGAGAACCCCCAGCAATCACGCGCATCAACTTAGTTGGTGTAGAATCTTCGTGATCGAATCAATAATTCTGGGCACAGGCCATTTCAGTTAAACCACCAGTCACATGTGCATAATTTTCAGGATGTCTGCTAAGATTGTTCAAGAGTGGAAAATGTGTAAACCTGACACTTTGGGCTCAGTACTCTATAGAGTTTCGTTTAAAAGGTTAAATGCGGTTCCTAAAGATAAGCAGGATAATGCAGAAAAAACGGTTTATTACTTGGGTCCTGCAGATGCAAAAAAAAGGGGCATGTTTGGGGACAGTGACAGAGTCCTCCCTCACAAGGGGATGCTATAGGACTATTTTTGAAGCAAGCCTCTCTTGCTGTTGAGAAAGCTAAACAACAAATCAGTAGCTGTACCTCTTTGATAAGAAATACAGTTGAAGCAAGATTAAAACAAGCTGAGAGTTTTCTTGCTGGTTGTACATGTTTTTTAGGAAATTTCAAGTGTTTTCAGTGTCCTTCAGCCAGTTCATGCAAGTCAAATGCCAGTTAAAGTTTTTTTTTTTTAATTAATTCCAAGCATGTAATAAAACAGAGAGAAAAATAAAAAAAAGAAAATCAACACGTAACACAAAACAACCAAACCAATTACCATATACAACCAAAGATAGAAATTTCTCTTGTTGATCCTTAGTCATTACATGCTTGCAAGGGAGTAGAAAAAAGTAATACTTATCTAGTTCTACCCCTGGTAATCCAAACTATAGTTGACCCAACCCAAGTATTTAACTAAACAACTACACTGATTAAATTCCCGCAACCACAAATCACATTTACATAATTAGAAAACAAATTATAAACAATAAATTATTCATATCCTACCCGTAAATACACCGATAATATCTTAATAAAATCATTACACTTCCTGTATCCAATACCCAGCTATGCAGGCCTTTTTATATTTATTCTTAAATTGTTTTACACTTGTACATTGTTT